TTCCACTGGCCATAGCCAAGCCCATTGTAAGTGGGGCATGAATGTATAATCCTCTTAAAGTGAGGGGCCCAGTAGGAAGGACAGCATATATTTGGAACAATAATCTACCACAGGGCTGTACCAGAAACTGATATCAATCACTGAACTCGTCCATTCTTGCTTCATATGCACTCTGCTGCAGCGTTTTGTACCATGTAACACCTCTCATACATCTTGATCAAGGGTAAAATCTTGACTCAAGGTAGACAATTCATAGGTAGGTCAATGTAGCCTGACCTAGACCAGTCAGGTTCCTTTTCTTAAGAATCTGAACCATGAAATATTCAGCGGGTGAGGGAGTAAGTGGAGAGGGCTTGCAGGTGAAAGGTGATACAACATGATTTGGAAAAGCCACAACTAACACAGGCCATGTTCCCTGAAAGCTGGGCTGACAGCAGCCAAGCCAGGATTTCAGTGCAAAACCTGCCCTTAGCCCCTCACTCAGGTCGGTTTCCCACAGGGAAGGGGTATATGCAAGGGAGCCTGTGAAACCTCCGGTGCACTTGTCTTCTAAGTCTGCTCCAAACTTGTCACTCACCTGTTCAAAAACCTTCTATAGGGGCTTCCCTGGTGGCGCAGTGGTTGAGAGTCCGCCTGCCGATGCAGGGGACACGGGTTCGTGCCCCGGTCCAGGAAGATCCCACATGCCGCGGAGCGGCTGGACCCGTGAGCCATGGCCGCTGGGCCTGCGCGTCCGGAGCCTGCGCTCCGCAACGGGAGAGGCCCGCGTACCGCAAAAAACAAAACAAACAAACAAACAAAAAAACCTTCTATAGGTCCCCACAGCCCACAGAAAAAGTTCAAATTGTTGAGCCCGGCATCCGAGCCCTCGCTTGGCCATCTAGCCACCTCTTCCAGGAGGTTCTGGACGGCGTCCTGGGTGAGACGGGTAAGCAGCCTTTCAGGGTGGCGCTGTGCAGCACGGCCAGGTGGAAGACACACGCTGCACGTGGACACCCAGCTGCGTAGATGTGGCAGTCTCCGCGTCGGCTTGACAGTCTCTATCAGATTCCAGTAGGTACCATGGGTCGTGCAGTTTGATTCTGAAGGCAGAAAAATGGGGGATTGGACAAAGGCGACCAAAAGGACAGGATTCTGCTGAAGAAACAGGCCGCAAGGGGAAGAGATGGAGAATGGAGAATCAGGGAAGCGCAGAGGCTACGCGTCCAAATCAATCTTCCCCTGGGGCAGGATCCATCCGGCTCCGCAGTTTCCCCATTGGGTGGGCATCCAGAGTGTTCGAACGCTTCTGAAAATGAGGAGTTCCTTCCTGTAGGCGTCTAGAGTTTCTTCTGTACACAGGACACAGGATCTCAGACAGGACGAAGGCGTGGGTAACTTCCCAGACTCGGCCAGCCCCAAGTCCGGGCAGCTAGGGAAAGCGACCCGGCCACGCCTTCTCGCGGGAGGTCCTGACTCCCTGCGCACGCCCGCCAGTCTCTCACTGGCCAGCCGCCTTCCGTCTCCTTTGGCGTTTTGATCATGCCCCTTGAGCTCTGTGATCCAATCGCTTTTGGGTGCGACTGAGGACTCGCTCTGAGGCCCCGCCCACATGAGGCCCCGCCCACATCAGCGTCCTCTAATTGCTGTTTAATACCCGGTGCTCACTCCTTCAGGACGCCCTACGAACCAATCCTGATGCTCTTCAGGAACAACATTTAGGTCCTCTAGTCAGCCGTTTTCCAAGTGGCGACCGGGCTACCCTTCAGCCACACCCCGTACACTCGGGGCCAAGCGTACCCTCGGATCTGGCGCAGGCACCGAGCAACCGCCATTCTAGGGCCACAGGGAGGCGCTGCAGGCGGGCGCCCAGCCACGGATGGAGGCTGAGCGGTCCTGTCCCATGTCACTGGAGCCCAATCCCGCCCTCTGACCCCTCCCCCATCCCAGGTCCAGGGGCGGGTCCGAGTCTGCACCAACGACCACACAGCTAGCCCTTCATCGCTCGCAACGCCCCGCCCCGGCACCCACGTGTGCACCCCGTACTTGGTGGCCGAAGCGAGCGGTACTGCAACCAGACGGGCTGGGCTACAGGAGCAGCAGCGGTGACCTGTGGGATCGAAAGTGCGATGGGACAGGGCGGCTGGAACCCGGCTCCCAGACCTTGGTCAGGATCAGGCACCTCCCTGTTTTTACCAGGCCTCGGACCCAGGAGCCCTGAAACTAGGTGTCTGGGGACAGGTGCCACACCCAGCTGCAGAAACTAGGCATGGGACTTGGAACTCTTAGACATTTAGAGTGGAAGCCTGGAGCTCAGGTGAGTCATGGAAACCCTCTGCCTCCTCTACCCGCGTCAGCCACAAGACCCCTGAGAAACAAGGTGAGCAGATGCAGTGCCTGGCTCTCTAACCTGAACTCATATAAGAGGCAATGCCTTTTTCTGGGCACAGGGACTGGCCTGTTGAACCCTTTGCCTGGCAACCTCTTCACTGATTCTTCCCATAACTGGCCCCTCCTCACTTGCCATGCCACTTAAATATCACCCCCTCTGAGACAGGCCCTTCCGAGTCCACTATATCCAAAGTAACAGGCTCAATTACTTTTTCACAGTGCCTCTTCACACACACACACACACACACACACACACACACACACACACACACACACACACACACACACACACACACACACACACACACACACACACACACACACACACACACACACACACACACACACACACCCACCCCCCAGTCTGAGCCCCGACACCCTGAAGCTGCTGAAGGAGGAGGGTTGAGCCGAGGGGCACAGCCAAGGTTAGGGAGCCTGCGGGCTCCCCTGCCCTTCTCCAGCCTTAACTTCCCTGCCCCCACTCCCCCCCCCCATCCCCCTTCTCCAGGACATCCAGCGCTTTGTCCTTCGATCCCTGGGGGAGAAGAGACAGGCTTACTATGCCATGGAGAACCTGGGGGCG